ACTATTCCTTAAACCAGCTTATCCACAAAACAAATTATTGTAGGTTTGGGTAAACACACACACACGTGTGTATAACCTATGGAAATCTCCAAAACGCCAGGAACTTCCAGGTTTCCTACATTTAAATTAATACCCAAGAATCTAAAGAAAAATTCCCAAAGAAAAGAAATTAAATCTTGTTGAATTCTGAGCCTTGTGGAGGTTTTTTACTGCATTTACAGCAAGAGCAAATGCAGCATGGATTCATTAAGGTGAAGGAATTCAGGAACCCTCCTCATGTTATTTGATCAAGCTGAACATCCTGGGAATTTTTAAGGCTATTCCAATAAGTAGAGGGGTATATGTAACCCCATTAAAAAAAAGATAATAGGAACAACCATACAGAAAAATGGATTAAGTGCAAGTGCATTTTTTTCCACAGGAAAATCTGAAAACATATTGACACTGAAATGCTTCACAGCTCAGCGTTAACACCCCACCAGCTCTTAAATGTTTCTGGAGTAAGGATTTAAAAAGAGACAAAAAAAAAAAGGAAGAGAAAAAAAAGAGGTCTTTGATTTGTGGAGTTTGGAAAGTCCTTGAGCTAGATTAAACTGCAGTCTTGTGAGACCAAGTATCTCTGTGGGGGCACTTCACAGAAATGCTCAAGAAACTCATGGAAATCTTCTCTCTGCTTACTCATGAAGCTATCAGGGTAAGGATTCATGAGGACAACTAATTAATTTTTCTTCTCAATTTCTGCCTGGCTTGTTCAACCAGGCAGGTTTTGCAATGCTGCCTCCTGTGTGTACAAACCAGGATTTGCTCTTGGAAGTCTCCCCTCCCCGAGCTTCTGATGGAACTGGAATAACACAATCACTTAAAACTGCTAAAACCCAGTTCTTTCCCTCCCTCATCCAATACAATTAAAAACAAATAAAGCAAAAGCAACACTTAAATCACAATTACAGTGAGACAAACCACGGCACCTTTGAAACCAACATTAATTTCTCTCAGGTGAGGAAGAAGAAAAGGTCGGAAAGCAGAGCTGATGTTTAACTACAGAGCTGGAGCCCAAAGTGCTCCAGGGGCTGGCAGGAATTGCTTTCCTAGAGGGGACACTCCAAGTACATAAAGGTTAAACAAAACAGCCCTGCAGAGCTTAAGGAATATTTAAAGCACCCTACAGGATGTCTTTCAGCTTTCTGCCTGTCCAACCTTCTCCACATGCAGAGCAGACACCACCAAAGCCATGGGATCCAAAGGATGGGAAAGCTGAAATGCTGAAAACCACAAAGCTCCTGGGTTTGGGCTTTTGGGATCTTTGTACCCAATCTGCAACCAGAATAATGGAAATTCAAAGTTGGAAAAGACCTTCAGGGTCACTGAGTCCAGCTGCCAACCCAGCACTGAACCTTGTCCCCAGGTGTCACATCCACACTTTTGAACATTTCCAGGGATGGTGACTCCACCACTGCCCTGTGCTCCAATGCTTCACAACCTGTTGGGAATTTAGCTGCTAGAAAATGGAAAAGTACAAAACCATGGCTAATTCCAAGTCCGGCACCTGCACAGATAGCAGTGTCCTTGGGCCTAGCTGTGGTGGGATAACAAACAGTGAAAGAGGCATGAGAAAAGAGACATGTAACCCCCCTAAGGAATGAGGAAGAGTTCATGGTATAGTTTAACCAATAGATTGCTTAGCTTACAGAATATTCATAAGCTTATTACTTGGTGTATAAGTGTCTGATGCTCTCTTCAATAAACGGAATTTGCTTATCACTCATATTGAGTGTCTGAGTCTCCCCTCACTGACAAATGGCTCGTCCCCGACAAAGGCCCACATTTTTTCTCTGTGACAACAACCTTTTCCACAAAGAAAATTTTCCCGATATGCAAACAAAACCTCTCCTGGCCCAGCCTGAGGCCGTTCCCTCTCCTCCTGTCAGGGACTCGTGCAGAGCCACAAGGGCCCCCCTGAGCCTCCTTCTCTCCAGGCTCCCTCAGCTGCTCCTGGGCCTCTGGGGTTTGCATTTCTAATTCCCAGTTCTGCTCTTTTTGTGTATCTGGAACAGATTCCGACAACAAAAACTTTCAGGAATGGTTTGAAACTGCAGCTATTGCTCTGGAAGCACAATCCCCTTCCACGGCAGGATTTTTGGCTGTGCCACCATGAACAACAGGGCCACATCCAGGACACCTTCCCAGGCAGGCTCCTGCTTCCAGCCCCTCTCCATCCCTCATGTGGATGAGCCCCTCTGGAAAGGCTCACAGAGCCAGCAAAGAGTCTTTCCCAAAGGGAATCATCCATGTCACATTTCCTGGAGCTGGAGACAAACTCAGCCCCGTGCTGGGATATCCAGCATCCCAAACCCCAGCAGCCTGCCCTTACTGCTGGCTGTGGCAGGAGGAACTCCAGGAACAGCCAGCCCATCCCACCTCTGGGCCAGGAGCAGGGATCCTGTCACGGTGGGAGATGCTGCTCCAGTTAGGATTGGTGCTCAAACCAGCGTGGCTCATTTGGAGCTGGATCAGAGCTCACTCTGAGGCACCACATGGTAAAAAATAAAGGTTCTGGCAGGCACATTGATCCCATCCACACAATGCTCCTCACTAATTCTGCCATTAAAAAATAATCCCAGCCCCGATGCCATTAGCAGCCCCAGAAGATCATTTCTCAACACAAGCCATCAGGCACAGTTTGCTGGGATTTCAGAGGAGCCACCGTGCCTGGCTGGTTTGGTTCAATTCTCCTGCTCCTCAGATGGCTTATTCATCCTTTCTGTGAGTCAACCGAAGTCCTAGCAAACCAACAAATGCACTTCTCAAACTGCCAAAGTGACCCACTGTGTTTCATGTATTTCACTAAGAGTTTAAAACCAGCTCCAAAAAATCCCACTACTGCAGAAAACCTAAAAAATCCCCAAGGAATTTTTATTCCACAGTGTCCACTATCCCAGGCTGCCCCAAGCTCCATCCAACCTGGCCTTGGACACTTCCAGGGATGGGGCAGCCACAGCTTCTCTGGGCAGCTGAACTAATCAATCCTATGAATTAACATTAACTTGGATTCCTGCTGAGTTTTGGTGGAAGTTCCACCAAATCCCACCCCTACCAATACAATAAGCCAAAATAAACCAGAAAGAATCAAGGTCTCCATTTCATCACTGTAAAACATCTCTAGGGTCTCTTGGATCAGGCTCTGAAGTTTTAGCTGGCTCCAGGGGAAGGACTGAGGGAATTTTAAGACCTCCTCGGAGCCAAGGGGAAAATCTGACCCAGAATAACCAGTCTTACAAAAGCAGGATTTCTAATTCTGAAAATTCCCATTCTGACATCAAGTCTGTTCAAACCAAAGCGAGTGGAGCTTAAAGAACTTTCAGCTGAGTTGTGCTCTGTCACCAGGAGCATTAATGCTGAATGATGACTTCACTTGCTGTGGAACATAAAAATAATCAAAAAATGCCAAAATACTGGTGAAGGTGCTCAGATGTTTACAGCCTGCACAAAGTTCCCTGGCTGAAGTTTTTGTGAGAAGACTGGAGCAGTTGTGATCCTGAGGAGATGTGAAAGCTGCCAGAAGGTCACAGAATCCTTTAGGTTGGAAAAGATCTCTGAGATCATCAAATCCAATAACCTGCCCCAACCTGAGCTCCTCAGGGCTGTGCTTTAGAACAGTGAGCTCAGGTTCAGGCAGCAGCACCCATTTAAAAGGGATTTGTGCAGCAGCAGAGCACATGATTGCCTTAAACTGAGCTCCTTGGGGATGGAGAGGGCCTTTGCTGGTGGCAATGGCACCTCTGGTGCTCTGCAATACCCACACCTCAACCAAAGGTGTGTGTAAGAGGAATAATGACGGATGCAAGAGGTTAAAGAAACAGAATTCCCTAAAAGGCACCCAAAGAACCAGATCTCCACCAAGAGCCAGGGCAAAGAGAGACTGCGAAAACTTCTCTTGACACACAGGACCTTTGCTCATTTTCATGTAATTGCACCCCTCAGGGCCCAAATGGCACTTCAGGGAGAAATTCAGCTCAGCCACCAAGTCATTGCCACCAGAAGGACAGAAGCCCTCACTGAGTGAGCCCAGGCAGGAGGAGACAGCAGCAAGGAGGGCCTGGCTCAGCCCAAGCCCAGCAGAAGTTACAGGGACAGGCTGGAAGCAGCTGGATGGCTTCACACAGGTTTTGGACACACCAGCACCCAGAACTCACCTGAGGAGCTGGACATGACCTCCTGCTCTTCAGAGAGTGGTGTCTCCTTTTCTCCTGGTGCAACTCCCTAACCAGCACTGCCACCTCATAAACTTTAAAAATGAAGCCAACTCCTGTTTTCTGACAGCACACCATTTGCAGCCCTTTATAAAGGACCCAAGTGGTGATACAGTTATTAAAGAGATTTCAGTCTCTTGGCTTGGAGCTGCTTTTCTCAGGGAGGACTAAATCCCACTTTTTCAAGGCTTATGGAATATTTTTGGAATATTGTTCAGGAATATTGTTCAGAGCTGGGCTCCAGCTCCAGCTCAGCTGGGGAGGGATGTGGGAGATGCAAGGAGTGTTCCACTCCAGAAATGTAATGTTGTGCCACTGAAATCCAGTCTCCTGCTCACACCTGCATCTCCTGCATCCCAGTATTTTACTGTGGCCTTCTGGTTGAATAAAAATGTTCGGATGGCACCCAGGTGCTCTCCTGCTTACCCCTCATTTTCCCTAATTGTTAAAACGCCCTTTTTGCCCATCAAAACATGTCCACACTGAAGATTTCATTGTCCCTGTCCCAGCTCATGAGAGAAACAGCTCCCAGCCCTGCCCTGTGAGACACCCAAATCTTGGATAAACTCAATATTTAGAGCAGAAAAGCAGCAGAGAGCGGGACCAGGCCAGTTCATGTGTGAGAGCTCCGAGCTGCAACTTGTGCTGGGGAGGATGTTGGGCATTGTGCTTCATTAGGAAACAAAATATAAGCTTTCCACTCCATTAGGAATGACTTTAGGAGTGAAAGCACATAAGACGACGACTCACCTCATCAACAATGCACTGCAATAACTGGAGAGGCTGCAATGGCAAGGAGAGAGGGGGAAAAAAAAGTATTAGACTATATGCAATATCTTTACAGTGGAGTGGAAAGAAAAAATCATTAATGCAATAAAATATAGCAAGATTAATCAACGGCAGCAAACTCTTATCAAAACATTGATGCTCAGGATGTTCTATTATTTCTAATGGTACCTAATCTAATACAGGCAGTTAAAGGTTTGCATTTTCTTCAAAATGCAATTTGCTAAGTTTAAAACAAGGCATTCAAGCATGCAGAGGGAGCAGCCATCAGGAAAAAGAAAAGTGAATTTTTTTCTGAACTCATAAAGCTTACCATTAAAGATCCCTGGTTTTTCTGAATCTGAAAAAAGACAATATGTAATTAGCATGTCATAATCAAAATGACTCACTTGGACACATTATGATCACTGAGAGAAAATTATTGCATCGCTGGTGGCAATTTGTGGGCATGTGTTAACACAATTTACATAATGAAAATACACAAATGTTAATAGCTCGCTTCTCATTTATAGGCGAAAGTCAGCAGAATGTTAATTTCACACAACACTTTTTAGTACCCTCCAGGTTGTATTAGAATAGGAAGAAAAACCATAATCCATTTCAAAAGGCTGTTTACGATTCAGATATAAATAATGTTTTATATTGCTAGATTGTGAACACTGGGCTTAATGTTGCAATCATTGCTAATGTTATGAAGCTCACTCTTTTTAAATTAAAAACCGATTTATTTAAAATTGAAATTAAATCATAGTCAGAAATTAGAATTTTGGATTACTGCCAGGCTCTGCTCACAATCCCTTTTTTGTGAAGAAAACTTTAATTATGTGGTTGAAGTATCTACTGCTGCTCAGGAAAGCCTCTAACACTCCACTTTTCCCCAAGTTTTTTATCCAGTTTTCCCTGGACTCTGAGCAGAGCACCACCATCTACGAGATGGGGAAGTTTGGTGAACTTTGTGTTGTTTTAAGCTGAAAAGGAAGATTTCTCTCCAAGCCCTTCTGAATTTCTGGACAACCTGGGGGAGAGTTT